CTCCCCCCCCTCCCTCGCGGGGCCCCATTTCTCTCGGTCCATTCGCAGGGCGGGCGTAGTTCCCGCGGCAGCAACAGCAGCAGCAGCCGCGACGGCTTCGGCAGCCGCCGGTCCGGCCACCTCCAGCAACGCCCACCCCCCGGCGGCGGCGGCGGCGGCGGCGGCGGCGGCAGCGGGAGCGGGTACCNACGGCTGAGATCGCGGCGAAGCAAGCGGTGGCGGCGGCGGCGGCGGCGGCCGCCCAGCAAGCGGCGGCTGCCCAGCAGGCGGCGGCGGCCCAGCAGGCGGCGGCGGCCCAGCAGGCGGCGGCTGCCCAGCAGGCGGCGGCTGCCCAGCAGGCGACGGCTGCTCAGCAGGCGACGGCGGCGGCGCAGGCCCAGCAGGTGAGGAGGCGTGAAGATTAGATGTTGCGGACGAGGGTTAGAGTCGTGTTTAGAGCAACCCCCGCCCTATCTTTTTCAGTTAAGCTTGCACATGGTGTGAAGTTTTTTCCAGTAGAGGTATCTATAGTCAGAGGCGCTTGCCCGTCGCAGTTGTACCGCCCCCCGCAGGGCCACAGCCGCCGCTCTTTTGTAGAGTGTTTTTATCGGGAACGATTTGAACGCGCGTGTTGCGCGGCAGCGACTCCATCGGCGTGCATGCCCAGCGACGTTGTTGGCAGCACGTTATGGCTGGTCGGAGCAGCAACAACGTGCTGCCGACAACGTCGCGGCTGCTGCCTCAAAGTACATGCTCTCCGAAGAAGCCGCTGCGGGACAAAACACGCGCGTGAAAGTCGTTGATCAGGAACAGCTCTAAAGGGCGGCTGCGGCCATCATGTGTTGCCTTGCTCTACTTATGCTTCTACTGATTTCTGGGCAGCACAGATCCTATGTCTTTTCTTTTTTTTTCTTGCGAAACCAGCACGAATTACTGGTAATTAGGCTACCCAGCAACACGAATTGAACTCTATCCATTGCATAGAACACAAATTAGTCTTAATCCACAGAAGAGAGATTAATCGCTATCCGTAGAACACGAATTTGTCTCTGTCCACAGAAGACGAATGAACCCTTTCCTCAGGTATGCAAGCCACTGATAATCCATGGAGTTTCAATAGTTGTCTTGACCTACAGCATAACCTGTGCTTTGTACTTATCTCCAGGCGACATAGACACAGCAAATGATATGCGCATCACCTCTGAGCACATTAATTTGCCAAACATCCTCGGACCGAAAGACATGGTGGTGGCACGGTTCAAGAGAGATGTTTAGGAGAAACTACGGAGTTACGAGACAGTTTTTGGTTTGTCCCAAGCATTTAGGAAATACAGGTTACTTTTCACGGAGCGCTCACGCGCAGACGGGGGAACTCGGGGGTCTCTTAGATCATTACATGCCACATCACACAGCAGTGCGGTTTAAGAGAGAACCGGGTTCGAGAGAGCAGTACTGGCTTGTGTCCGACCCTCTCTTTGACCAGTCCACCCCCACTGCTGTGTCCTGGTTTCCACACGGCCTTCCTTTTCTTTTCCTTAGCCACCACTGCTGTATCCTGGTTTCCACATCTCCTTGACTTGTGCTTGTCCTTGCCGACGTGTAGGCGCAGGCCGCGGCGGCTGCAGAGGCGGAGAGAGCTAGGGTGGAGAGAGAGAGACTCGAGGCGATGGCAAGGGCAAGGGCGGCCGCTCAGAAGACGCGCGGTAAGATGAAAGAGAGGCGGGACAACGTTGTTGTTGTCTTCACATTCAAGAACGGTTTTGGTCTCCGCTCAGGACCTTCTTAACATCCGTACCTTGCGTGGTCACAGGCCGGAAGCGGCACACCCTTCTCGAAAAATCTTCCTCTTCTTTTTTATTTGTCGTACGTGTACAGGCGAGCGGCCTTGAGTTTTGGTGCTGGACCGTGTATGTTCGCCGAAAGGTGAACACTGGCGCCAGAATATATTGACACACACACAGGACGTACATGGACCACTGCTCTAGCCACCAATTTGAATGTGACCCAACGAATACCATCTCTAAGAAAAGAGTCTTCAGATAGATTAACAATGAATTCATAGCGTCAGAGAAAGCTACCTGTGTTTCCACGGTTTCCCGGGCAGCACACAGCGATATCTCCCCTGTGGGTAGCAGGCTCAACAAGACAGTTTTGGTTCATTGTTCCTCCGTCCGGGCAAGCATTCCAGACGTTCCCCCGAGAATAGAGCAAGTTCTGTTCCGAATAAATCCCGAGAACCGCTCTCAAAGAATTTCTTGGCAATGTAATACGGAGTTGTTGTTTTTTTGTTTCGCGGGGAGCATTCTTCGCCCCATGTTCTGAATCATCCCTTTCGTGTCTTTCCTACGTACGTACGTACTCACGCGAATGACGTCACGCGCACAGCTGAAGCAGACGCCAAGTCCAAGCTCGACGCCGCGTCACCATCTCCTCCCGCCGCCGGATTATCATCACCAGCAGCAGCAGCAGCCGCTCCTGCCCCTGCCCCTGCCCCTGCCGCCAACACCACCGCCGCCACTACTGCCGCCAACACCACAGCGGCCGCTGCAGCCGCTGCGGCCGCCGCCACCTCTGCTCCGACGGTGGCGGTGGCCGCAACGGCCGCTCAGCAGGAACAGGCGCAGCAGGCGCGCGCTCAGGCTCAGGCCCGGGCCCACGCGCAAGCGCAAGCGCAAGCGCAAGCGCAAGCGGCGCAGGCTCAAGCTCAGGCGCAGGCGCAGGCGCAAGCTGCGGCACAGGCTCAGGTGGGAATGGGGAGGGACGCTTGCCTTTGTTGTGTTGACCACGCGTCCTCGCGAGGGCGGAGGATTGTCTCCACAGGACCGATGTCTGATGGTCAATCGTTCCTTCGCACTTTTGTGGGAATGGGGATGGGCGGGTTGGTGATAGTGCCGGTGTTTGGAGGGGGCGGGGGGGGCGTCCTGGCCCAACTAACATGTGAAAATTCCAGGAACGCTCTCTTCGTTTTTTCTTTATGTGTGGTCTGTTATTTCACCCGAGCTGCTAGCCATTCTGGGTTTGGTATTTGCTTGAGAATCTCTGAGCTGTTTGTGTACCCCCCTTCAGGTACACGTATGTAGTTGAGAAGCTTCACTTTCAGTCGGGTTGGGGGTTCCGTGCCGTAGTAGGGGTGGGGGTATGCCTTCAGCCATTCTAGTACAACAGAATATAGCACACTATGGAGATGATTCTCCTCCTTGTGGTTGTCACCGCCGCGGGGCTGGGCTTTGTTCCGTGAGAGGTGCGCTATAGTGCGGGTTGGTGCCAAGCGTTTTATCCACACTTTTAAAACTCAAGTGCATGAAAACATCTTGATTGTTCCATCGGTGCCAGATAATTTTCACCCGCACTGCAAAACCTGTGTACGTCGACATCTGTGCTTTTTCTTTGAGCGTGCACTTGAGCAAAAACGTTAGTCTAATCAACCCCTGACAATGGCAGGCGGCGGCACAGGCACGTGCCCAGGCTCAGCAGCAGGCGGCTGCGGCTCAGGCCCAAGCCCAAGCGCAGGTAAGTCTGTACAGTCCGCGGGGGTCCCTCCATAGTGCGGCGTGCGTGATATGGTGCTGATGAAACAAATTTCTTGGGCACAGATAGAACCCGATGCAGTACGGGTGCCCGCTACTATCGTGCGGGTGAAATCTCTTGGTACATACCTGCACTGTTAGAAGTGACCCCCCACTGCTGTACAATGGCAATAAAAAAAAAAAGAGTACAGAGTGAGCACAGGCACCGAAAAACCTGGGAGTTCAGATATCCAGCCTACGAACAATGGAAAAAATCGTGGAAAAACAGAACTTTCGCTGACGCTATGGAATAATTGCTAATCTATCTTAGACCCTTATCGTCGACAAAATGTAAAGCAAAAAATCTAAAAAGTTGGCCAATCCAGGGTACAAAAAGAGAAATGAAGAGCTTGGCCGTAACAACAGGTGTTGGCGTTGTTGGCGTTGTTGGCGTACCCGATAGACAAAGCAAGAAACAATCCTCGGGCCAAGTTAAGAGGCTCTCAAGTGCAGGCGCCAACTGTATCTACACAGCATCCCCCGCCCTCGGTACTTACCGCGCCCTGCCGACCTCTGCATCGATTGTTCGGAACCAGCAACAACAGGCCCACGCGCAGGCTCAAGCCCAGGCCCAGGCCCAGGCTCAGGCTCAGGCCCAGGCTCAGGCTCAGGCGGCAGCGGTGCAAGCACAAGCGCAAGCGCAAGCGCAGGCACAGGCGCATGCCCAGGTGACCCCCCCCCCCCCCCCCCCCCCCCCCCCCCCCCCCCCCCCCCC